GGGGGGGGGGGGGGGGGGGGGGGGGGGGGGGGGGGAGGCACTGGGCATGCCGACATGCAGATGTGTCGATGTGTTCGCGGCGCCCCTGTTCATGAGGGGTCTCTGGGCATTCACGTCCCCGTGATGCCCGCAGAGCCGACATTGCAAATGGTGCGGTGAGCCAGAAAAGATCCCTGTTCAGGGCTGCTCAGCATAAAGACTCTCGTGCAGCCAGCACCCTGTGCATGCCGCCTGGGGTGAAGCTGCAACCAAAGACGACGAGCTCGCCACCACCAAGTCAGTTGGTCTGCAACGCGCTCAGCGCTTCGTCGACACGCAGCATCAGGTCAGCGTAGGCACTGTCCCGCCGCCCCTGTGCGCTGTTGCCCTCCCCCGCCAGCTGCCCCTGCTGCCGCCGCTCCGCTGCCTCCCTGGCCGCCGCTGCGGCGTCATCCGTGAGCACCACTTCGTCTGCCGCTACCTTCACGCGGCCCATCAGGGTCGCCACCACAACCATGTCCCCCACTACCTGCAGAGGGTCACCAAGGGCAACAGTTGGGTGGAAGGGGAAACAGGAGGGGGTTTGAGGCCTGCACAGGCGTGGTGCAATGAACACCAACATTCAAGCGCCTTTCAAGTGCCGCTCGATTGATCCAGCAGCTGGCGCGAAGGGACGGGAGCCAATCGCCCCATGTAACAGGAGATCCGTTCACAACGCAGCCAGCTGCCACGGCCTCTCTTGTGCGAAGGCCCATGCCTTGGCGGCGCGCACCTTGTGCACTGTGCCATAGCCCAGCTGCCCTTTCTTCGGCACCATCACACTGTCCCCTGCCTTGAGCTGACTGGCCACAGGCACCAGTCCGATGTCTGCACCAGCACCCCCAGGCCCCTGCTGCCCTGGTCGCAGCCGCGGAGGCAGCTGCGCCTCAAGATCCTCGAGCCGCTGTGCCAGCACCGCAGGCTCCAGCTCGCCGCGGCGGAATCCAGCGAGCGATAGCTGCACCTCCAGCACGCGGCGCGCCACGACCTGCTCCACCAGCGCGGGCCCACGCTGCACATTGGCACGCACCGCCGCCAGGTCGCGCTCACGACTGCGCAGCTCGGCCAACCGAGACTCGCGCGCCGCACGCGCCTCACGACGCCGCTGCAACCGGTCCCTCAACTCAGCCAGCTGACGCTCCACGCTGGCCGCCACGCGCTCCATGTCGGCCGCCGCCTCGGCGCGTGCCGCCTCCTCGCTGGCTGCCAGGCGCCGCGCGTCACCCACAACGGCTGCGTCAAAGCCCAACGCTGCGGCAATGTCGAGCGCGTTGCTGGCACCTGCCTCGCCCCATGCCAGGGTGTACGTAGGTGCCAGGCTGGCGGTGTCAAAGCCCATCGACGCGTTGGCGTAGCGGGTGTCCTGCACCGCAGCCCCTTTCAGCTCGGCGTGGTGCGTGGTGGCGAGGGTGAGGCCAGCACGCCCTGCGAGAGCGTCAAGCACCGCGCGCGCCAGGGCCGCGCCCTCTCCCGGGTCTGTGCCGCTGCCGACCTCATCCAGCAGCACCAGGGACAGCGGCCCTGCTGCACCCAGCACGCGCCGCAGCCTCCGCACGTGACCACTGAACGTCGAGAGGCTCTGCTGCAGGCTCTGCGCGTCGCCGATATCAGCCAGCACCGCATCAAACCAGTGCAGCCGCGGTACAGGAGGGGCTGCTGCGTCTTGGCCCGGGGCGTCGATGGGCAAGAACAGGCCCGCCTTGGCCATGAGCGCCATGAGTCCAGCCACCTTGAGCGTGACGGTTTTACCGCCTGTTGGTTGATGGGGTTGGGTGGAGGTTGGGCGCACCCAACCATGGTGGAGCGACAGAAATTAAACTGGCTCAACCCTGCGCACACAAGTGTGCTGTAGGTGTGCTGTACTAGGGTTGAGATTAATTCTCAACCCTGAAGAAAGAACCATGAAGAACCAACCCTGTTGTGTAGGAAGTTGCGGGCATCTACCTGTGTTGGGCCCAGTGATGGCAACGACACTGATGCCCGCTGGAACACGCAGGTCCAGGGGCCGTGGCCGTCGCGCTTCGCTGGACCGGCCCCTGCTGCCCCCTGGCGCGCCCCAAAACGAGGGCACCGCCTGAAAGTTGGCTGCAAAAGGCTGGTCCTCGGCGCTCGGTGGCTGCGGTAGCGGGTCCAAGGTCGGCTCCAGCAGCAGGGGGTGCACGGCCCCCTGCACACAGAGCGGCGGCGGCCCCTCCACCTCAAACCTGAGGGGGCGGCAGGGGGTGTGACTTGGGTGCGGGTGCTAGGTTGGGCTGACTGCGTTGGGAAGCACAGCACAAGAAGGGGCGGGCCACAACACCCGGTCAATCGTCAGCTGATGTTGGGGGGCAATAGGTGGGCGGACTCAGGCGGTTGGCAGCATCTGCCAATCGCTAGCCGCGGCCTGGCGTGAAAAACGCTGGAATTACCTGCTGACAAATTGTGGCTTGACGCTGCCCATCCACTGTGCGTGGCGACCACGAGCTGCCGCGATGTCCAGCTCTGCAACTGATGCTACCAACGACGCAAGCTGGGGGGCACGCCCTGCCAGCATGGCGCTCAGCCGCGCCATGACTGCTGCCTCGGCCTCCTCCTCTCGGGCAGCCAGCTCAATCTCCCGGTTGTTCAGGTCCACTGCCGGCGCTGGCTCAATGTAGGCGGTAGCACCTGGCAGAGCGGTGCGACGGTGCGGACAGAACTGCAAGCTGGCATCCGCGACACCTTTAATGAAACAAACACAACACATTATTCAACACCGCAGCACAAGCCCACCCCATGACACCACCTCAAGCACACACCCCTAACGGCAGCCCCCAACACAACACAGCCAAGCAGAAGCCTCATGCCTCACCAGAGCTGCTGGCGCCCAGCTTCACGCTCCCCTTGGGCAGCTCGGAGCGCCGGTTGGAGCGTACCGCTACACAGAACCGTCCCCGCACCAGCAATGGCTCACGGCTGTCTGCAGCTCCCCTCGCAGCCATGTCGCGCGCCATGGCCCCCACCATGGAGCGCAGTGCCGCCAAGTTGGAGGAACGCGCAGCGCGCGTGGCTGCCAGCGCCGGGTCAGCTTCATCAGTGACGTTTCCCCCACGGATGCAGGCCCTGAGCGCAGCCACCGTGGACGCCTCATCTGCGCAGATGCCGTCTGCGAGCCGCGCCAGCAGGGGGAAGCGCGCCTCTGGCCCCCGCTGGCATGCCACGTCTCGCAGTCTCAGCGCAGCCTCCAGGGTGGCGGCGACGCCCTCCAGCTGCTTGGCGTTGAGGACCATTCCAGACGCCGCAGCATTTATGGCCGGCCGCAGGTCAAGGATGCCTGGGGGTGCAGCAATGTTTGCCATGGTTTGCGGCGGCAGCTCTTATGTGTGCACAGTGACAGGCCTGAAATGCAGCAGCGCTCGGCTGCCATCTCCCGTACCAGCGGCCGACCACCTCAGCCTGGTACCAACCCCTGAATGCCCCCCTGCATTCCCTGATCCCTTACCAGCCAGCGGCAGGTCTGCCAGCTGCGCCTCCTCGGTCTGCTGCAGCAGCGCCTCGCTCTCCCCTTGACTGGAGCCCAATTGCAGCCCAGCCAATGCACGCTCGGCTGCCATAGGCGTGCGGCAGAAGCACGCTACCTGCATCGCGTGTGCACGTGTGTGTGTGTGAGTGTGTGTGTGTGAGTGTGTGTGTCTGTGTGGATGTATGTGTGTGTGTGTTTGTGGATGGGTGTGTGTGTGTGTGAATGCACGCGTTGTGCGCGAGCTTGCACGCCTGTGTGCGCTCAAGAATGCATTCGCGCGTGTGTGCGTGCGCGTGCGTGTGTGTATTGATGCTGATACATGCGTACTTTGCATGCAAGAGCAATTTCACCCGCACACCATGCCAATGAGGTGGCCCGCATGGTGCAAGTCTGCTACCGCGGCGCCCAGCAGAGCACAAACACAGCCTGGGCCTGCCCCTGCACGCACCTGCCGGCACACCAAGGGCCACTCCAGTATCTCGAGCGACTCATCCTCTACAGGCAGCTGCTGCTCCTCGCTGACCGAGACAGCGGTGCCGTCCTCAGCAGCTGGAGCGTCCACGGCCGCACACGGGGCGCGCAACGCACGCCGCCCTGGCTGGTGTAGACACCCCCACGGCTCCTCTGCATGCTGCTGGTCTATCCGACTAAGCAAATGGCTGCCTCGTAACAATCGCTGCGGGTGCTTGCTACGAAGGCCAGACGCAACGGGCTCGCTCTGAACGCACCCGCGAGGCTGCGCGCTCGCCAGGATCCCACGCATTGTTAAAGTTGATTTCACACTTTCAGAGACGGTGGCAACAGCAACTTCACTCGAGCACAGGCAATGTTTGCACTGGCGGTGTGGGGCGAATGAGCGAAGGTGCGCAGCAGGTGCGCACCGCCAGGTGACGAGCTCAACTGCGCGGTGACATGCTTTGGACGTGACCGAGGGTTATAAATGCGCCAAGGCGATCCTCAAGGCTTCCCGATCGGCGCGGGTGCTCTGTCTCTTCTGGGTCTGACCGGCTGCGTCATGAGCGACAGGGTGTTGACCACCACACCTGCAGCTGGACATGAGCTCATGTCAAAGAACCGCAACCAGTTGACAGACCATTGCAGCATGTGTAACAAGCTTCAAAAATTACAGTAAAAATCGCTGCGGCTCAGCTGTTGTTGCGGTCAGTCAACTGGGGCGCTCTGCCTGGGTGAGTTGATGGCCACCAAGCTCCTGCCTAGGGCTCGCTCTGCTCCTGTGCCCTTGTCGAACCATTGCTGGCGCTCCTGCTGATGCAATCACCACCGCTCCTACAGCTACTGGTACATGCGTCCGTCTTTCTCAACGGCCCCTGCTTGCCGGTCGCGCCCACCTGAACAGCCCCTGCAACGCCAACCTGGTTCAGGCCGCCGCTGCTGCTGCCCGTTTCCTGCAGCCACCGCGCAAAAAGCTGCCTGTAGACGCCCTCCAGGCTGCGCACAAACGACGGCGCATCGCAGAGAGGCGACGACAGCAGCCGCTCCCTCAGACCTGCCCGCAGCGCCGCCAGTCGTGGAAGGTCAGCCGCCGCCGCCACCGCTCGCGCCAGGTAAGCTTCGGTGTCGGCCACCACCCAGTCATCAGCCAGCCCCACTGTGTGCAGCAGGCTGGCGCCGACGTTGTGCGCGTGGCAGCCCCCCACCATGGAGATGCAGGGCACCCCCATGAACAGGGACTCTACAGTGGTGGTGGTGCCTGTATGGGGTTGGGGCAGGGGGGTCAAAGGGTCATGGGGAACGCCGCCGCAAGCCGGCGCGCTACAACAATGCGGCGCCTGTTGTGCGTCACCAACCGGGAGAGGGCGCTTCAAGAGGCCCTGGGGGCCCCGCTAGGTGCACCACCGGACTACGCACGCCTCACACCAGTCCTCTGCACTGCACCCCTCCCTGCCAACCAATCTCACCTGCGTAGGGGAAGGGATCCAGGCTGACGTCCATCAGTGCGTACTGCGCCAGGTGCTCGCAGTTGCCTGGGGCCAGGGGCAGCAGGTCCACGCGCCACGCCTCCACGCCCAACGCCGCCATCCGCGCCATCCACAGGGCGCGGGCCTGGGGGCAGGCGAAGGGCTTGTTTTTGAGGACCAGGCGGCTGCCGGGGACAGCAGCCAGCAGGCGCGCCCAGAGGCCCAGGACATCGTCAGACACCTTGGCCAGCGCGTTGAAGGAGCCGAACGTGATGAATCCGTTGTTGAGAGCAGGCAGGGGCGCCACAGGGGGGGCGTCCAGGGCCGGGGTGTAGCACAGGAAGCAGCGCGGCAGCCGCACCAGCTCCTCAACAAATGTCTGCGGCAACAGGGGAGGGGGCGTGCAAAGGGCTGTGAGGGCCGTGTGCATGCAACCGCACGAGCCTTGGACGTGTGAAAGGGCAATAACGCCGGGGGTTGGTGGAGCGAATCAAAAAGCAGGGGAACAAGACATTGAGGCATCGAAGTCAAAGCGCTGCACATCAGGACTCACAGCAAGTGAGCGTTGGTGACACCAGCCACGTCCAGAGCGTGTGAGCTCTAACCGCACACAACACATCCCTGCGTCGTGCCTGCCGCCCCTTCAATCCCGACCTGCTTGGTGTCCTCGGGGTCGCATATGGCGTCTGTGAGGCGGTAGTCGATGGCGGCCAGGCCTGTGCTGTTGGGGTAGCCGATCCATGTCGCCTGCACTGGCGCCGGCCGCCGCGCCATCATCCCCAGGCGGTTGTGCGCCGTGTGGCCTTCAAACGGCGTGTCAAGAGGGTAGTTAGTGCCGTTAATACGCGACCGCTTGAAGTACACCTGTGCCAGGTCCTGCCTAGCACTAAACAGGGACATGTGCAGGCGAACCAGCGTCCACAGTCAACCGCAGCACTCTCAAATGCACCCTTGTTGGCAGGCCGTCTGCCCATCTTGCCTCAAAGCTCACCTGTGAGCTCCACCAACACGCCAATGCCGTCGTCTCGCACCAGCTGAGCCAGCGCGTCGTCACCCAGGCCCTCAACACAGCGCCACATCACCCCTGCCGCCTCCGCCTCCCGCCGCAGCCGCTCGCTTTTCGCGTCGCGCCGGGGCGTTGAGTCATAGACGTAGGCTGCCACTGCCTCGCGGTCGTGGCCCGTCAGGGGCGCCTCGCAGAAGTATGAGACCGAATGCGTGAACAGGTCAGGAGACACGTAGCCTACGCGCAAGGGGCCTGAGCGGCAAAATTCCAAAGGCGACACCGGAGGCAGCTGAGTTATGGCTGCCTGGAATTTGGAGCCCCATGCCACGTGCTGCCTGCACACCCAGGGATCTTCCCCGGGGTGTGCATAATTGAGCGCCAGGAGGCGGTTCTGGGCTGCAGATTGGCGATGCGGGGGGTTCGGGTAGGCAGATGGGATATCAGATGGTGAGTGTAGCAAGGTGCTGCGCCTGACGGGACTCAACATATGCAGCCATTGATGGAAGGAATCATCGAAGGATTTGAGAACTCATGTTAGGTCACAAATAGATTAACAGATGAAGCATGTAAGGGCTGTGCAAGTGCAGGGGTGGGGAGTGCCAAGACAAGCTTTGCACCTGCGTTGGGCTGCTCTGGCGCCAAGCTCGCCGCGCGTTCGTAGCTGGCAATGGCATCAGCGACTGCGCCAATGTCGCGCTGCAGCACGCCCAGGTTGTTCCAGGCCTCTGCATAAGAGGGACAGGCCTGGGTAGCTGCCTGCAGCAGGGCCGTGGCCTCGCCCGCGCGACCCTGGCTGGTGTAGATGACAGACAGGTTGTTCAGGCTCTGTGGTGAAGGGTGGGACGTGGCGTGGGATGGAGACAAAGTGCTCTATTGTGGTGTGGAGCATTGCAAAAGAGTACAGTTCTGTGAGAAAGGAACACCCCTGTTGCGCATCGACCCCTTGCATTACTTGCAACTCCCTTTCTCCACCAACCTGCGGGAAGTTGGGCCTGATGTTGAGGGCTGCCAGGTAGCACTCGCTGGCGCGCTCCAGCTCGTTGCGTTCGCGGTAGATGACGCCCGCGTTGTTCCACCTGGTGGCGCCGCAGTCGGTTCAAGGTTTGTCGGGGTGAGGCGTTTGCACACTGCCTGCCGCCAAAGTGGGTGCGCGTGCGCAATACTTGCTGTTGCTTTATCCAGCTCATGCACACGACACAGCACCTGTCCCCTGTAGGAGCTGCAGCACACAGCAACGCACAATTTGGGCTACTCACGCCTCTGCGCATTCGGGCCTGACAGCAACAGCTGTGTGGTAACAGAAGAGGGCCCGATCCAGGGACTGGCACGGCCCTGGCTCGGCGAGCGCGACACCCAGGTTGTACAGCGCGTCTGCATGCCGCGGTGACAGCGCCAGGGCGCGGTCGTACAGCGCGATGCCGCCGGCCGTGTCGCCCTGGGCCTTGCGCAGTGTGCCCAAGTCTGTGAGCGCGATGGCCAGATTGCTGCGGACGAGGTCGTAGAAGGGCGCCGCCTGGCCGTACATGGCGTGGGTGGGCGGCCAGGATCCAAAGCAGCTCAGCAGCTGCCACCTGAGTGCAGTCGGTCTGCGGCATACTGGGCCTGCACAGTCTGCTGTGTGGCCAACGCAGGGCGAGGCATCATCAACCAGCTCATGAACCAAAAGCGATGCAGCGTACCCTGGTCTTGCTTCCTGCCCCCCCGAATAACGCCTTCCCTGCCACCAACCCCCTCTCCACCTTGAGGGCCCGCTCATAGGCTGCCACCGCATCCTCCAGGCGGCCCTCCTCCTTATAAATGACGCCCATGTTGCAGTGCGCCTGCCAAGAAGCGGCCCAGGGATGGGAGGGGCGACCGCGGGCACAAGCCAACCCTGTGTCAAGCTCTGTACTGTCAGTGGCCTCATAGCTGCTTCTTGGCGAGTGCGCAGTGATGCAGCCGCTGATGCAAGGGACCCCAATTACCTCGGTTGACCTCCGGTTGCGCAGCCACGTTGTGAGATTCCTGGACACAAAGCAATCTAGCTACGCCCACCTGTGCGTAGCAAGGCGCCACCTCAATGGCGCGGCTGTAGTACTGGAGCGCCTCTCGCCACCGGTCACGCCCCGCCTCGCTGGCCACAACCCCCTGTGCAGACGTGCATGCGAGCATGGCGCATTGTGGTTGTTTGTGAAGTTGCAGTGCTTGGTTGCTGCATCAACACCATTATGAAGCATGGTCACCAAGCAGAGATTTTTACAGACTGCAGCTAGCGCGGTCGCATTGCCCCCGCGGTCGCATCCGCCCTGCGTTCGCACCAGGTTGTAATGTGCTGCTGCAAGGGTGGGCCACACCCGAAGAGCCGCGTGGTACAGCTGCACGGCCTCATCCAGCCGCCCGGACACCTTGGCCGCTGTGCCCAGGTCGGTCAGAACTGTAGCTAGGCCCTCCCCAGCGCGCTCGTCGGCTGGTGCGGCCTTGACTGCGCGCTCCAGAACGTCCCGCGCCTCCTGCAGCAGGCCCCTGGCCTTGTAGAGTGATGCCAGCTCCAGCAGTGCCGGCAGATGCGCAGGGTCCGCCGCCAGCACAGACATGAAGCTTGCGAACGCTCCTGCACACCAAGCGGAGGCACGGGTGCCGCCCCTTGTTGGCCTGGCTGCTGCGTCCTTGTAGACGAAAGGCCCCGGCGCGCTCGGCAGCATTCACATCTGCACAGCTCCTGCAGGGTCAATCGGCACACCTGGGATGTTGCCAGCGCTCAGCAGGCAACGGCCGCGCAAATGCAGCAGAGCTGCCGAGGCGGGAGCAGCGAGTAGCGCCTTGTCGGCGCAAGCAAGGGCGTCCGCCGTCTTGCCACTGCACAGCAGCAGCTCAGCCAGTTTTTCCTGGCGCTGATGGTCAAGCAGCTGCAGGCTGATGGGTGGCGGCGCAACAACGGCTTCCGGCACATCTGGCCTGCCCGCCGCCGTTGGCAGGCCGCCGTCCGCAACCATCCTTTGCAGCGCCTGCTTGTGCCGCTGCTGCTCGCTTGCAGGTCGCTTCTGCGGCTGCTGCGCGCAAGCGCCACCACTGCCGCTAACGACGATGTTTATACTCCTTGCATTCGAAGCTGTCGTCGTACGCCCTCGGTGGGCTGTCTCGATTTCGAGCGAGATCTTGCGAAGACTCTTTCAGGACTGTGGATCGCTATTTATACGAAAAAACGGCTTTAAAAACTACAGAGTATGAGCATACGAATGACGCATATGATGTTTGCTGCGCCGAGGTTGATGTGCTATCGTGACCTGACAAGTGGGGCGACAAGTGCATCGCGTGTGAGTCAACGGCCGGCGCCCCCAAATCAAGCGCAACATGCACGAGGATTAGTCCGCCATCAGACATATAGTACCTGGTGGACCCGATGGACCGGGTATGGGTGGGGATACCCGATCGCTTTGAGCGTACTGCTGCGTGCCACATTTGCGGTGTGCGGTGTTTACGGTAGTGACCAATCCAGGCGCCTCGCGGTCATGCACGTGTTGTCACTGCATGCATGTTACAATGAACATCATCTAGGACAATCACAACTTCCGGGCTGAACGTGTGCAGGTACTTCCTCCTCGAAACAGCCTGCGCAGGATGCTTAACGACGCCCTTTCCTTAAACTTGATGTTGGGTCGTAGCACGGGGGCTAGTAACTAGAAACTAGAGCTACTTGAGCAGGGTAGTTTTGGTGGGTTCACCTCCTTGGAGGCACGCTAATGTCATAAGTTCACAACCACGTGACCAGGTGTCACTGATGACACCAGCCAACTGAACATTATGCTGGGTGAACTCACGCACACCATGGAGTTTAGCACTTAATTTCATCATATCATGATGCTGTGGGACCAGCCTGGCACCAGCCAGCATCTGGCTGGTGACCAGCCAGCTGTAGCAACGCTTTCCGGATGACGTCACAGAAAGTGATGGGTTACTACAAGGGGACATCACCGCCAGCTCGCACTTGGGGCCTTCGTGCACGCCTGCTTGGAACGGCGCACGGTGGCCACCTGAATCTCAGTCACACAGCTCTGACGCTCAAAACTCCAATCCCCTAAGCCTGGATTGCTCCGAAAGCGCGAGACTGCAAGACGCTGCAACATTCCTGATGCTGAATTCAACCCACCCGTTTTAAGTGACTAAAGGGTGAGGTGCCTCTCGCAGCGGCCTGTTCTGTAGATGCTACAGCACTGGGCTGTAGTGTCTAACCACCTTGCACTACCCGTTACTTGGTCACTGCAGTCACCCTGATGACGCCATTAAGAATATTGTTGAATGTCAACACACCCCGATGATACACCACGTGATCTCACCAACTAGGCACCTACCCCTTGGCTGCTGACTGCCTTGCTTTTGCTGCTGACGCCCTTGGCCGCCGCTGGCCGCTGGTGCCCAAGTTGCACGCACCTAAG